ATTGTGTTAAAGCATGTCCTGAGAGCTCAGCAGTCACGCCATCTTCTCTCATTCCCTGTCTTCCTGAATACTCATCTCTCCACTTTTGCTCCTATCTTTGGAATTCTTCTCTCCATCTCAGTCTGGAGAATCTCTGGTCTGTAGCTTTCTTTTGGAAATCTGAGGTTTCTGTCCCTCATTCCTGTCATCCTTTACTCTCCCTGAAGTCCTTTGTGCTTCTTACGTCATGGCATGTTTAGATGTAGTAGAGATGTCTGAATCTTCAAGCTTGCTCTCCTGAGTGGACTTTTTTTTGTATTTGTGCTATGTATGCATTTTTTTATTAATTAATTTATTTGTTTATAAAAATTTCCACTTCCTCCCCTCCTCCCCATATCCTCCCTTTCTCCCCACTCCCTCTCCTCCTCCCCCCCACTCCCTCCTCTCCTTCCTCTCCAGTCCTAAGAGCAGTCAGGGTTTCCCGTCCTGTGGGAAGTTCAAGTTCCTCCCCTCTCCCTCCAAGACTAGGAAGGTGAGCATCCAAACAGACTAGGATCCCAGAAAGCTAGTACATGCAGACAAAATAAGGCCCAGTGCCATTGACAATGGCTTCTCAGTCAGCCCCCATGTCAGTCACATTTAGAGACTCCGGTTTGATCACATGCTCGTTCAGTCCCAGTCCAGCTGGCCTTGGTGAGCTCTCATTCAATCAGTCCCCTTGTATCTGAGGGTGAACGCATCCCACACGGTTCTGATTTCCTTTTTCATGATCTCTCTCCTTCTGCTCCTCATTTGGACCTTGGGGGCTCAGTCCAGTGCTCCAATGTGGGTCTCCGTCTCTATCTCCATCTATCGTCAGACGAAGGTTCCCTCTAGTCCTGCCTTTCTTGCTCACGTTCTCCCTCCTTCTGCTTCTCATTTGGACCTAGGGAGTTAAGCCCAGTGTTCCAATGTGTGTCTCTATCTCTATCTCCATCCATTGCCCGATGAAGGATCTATGGTGATATACAAAATATTCATCAGTATGGTTATGGACCAGGGCCAGTTCAGGTACGCTCTTCTCTGCTGCCCAGGGAACAATCTGGGGACCTCTCCTTGGGCCTGGAAACCCCTCCAGAATCAAGACTCTTTCAAACCCTAAAATGGCTCCCTTAGTTGAGATATATACTTCCCTAGTCCCATATCCATCCTTCCTCCCCCCTCCCATTCCCCCAAGCCATTCCCAATCCTCCCCCTCTCCCTTCTCTCTAACCATCTCCCCTTACTTCCACCCCCCACCCCAACCCCCCTGCACCCAAGTTTGCCTGGCAATCTTGTCTACTTCCAATATCCAAGAGGATAACTATAAGATTTTCTTCAAGTTCACCTTCTTGTTTAGATTCTCTGGGATCACGAATTATAGGCTCAAAGACCTTTAACTATGGCTAGAATCCACTTATGAGTGAGTACATACCATTTTCCTCTTTTTGGGTCTGGCTTACCTCACTCAGTAAAGCGTTTTCTATTTCCATCCATTTGCATGGAAAATTCAAGATGTCATTGTTTTTTTACCGCTGAGTAAAACTCTAATGTGTATATGTTCCACACCTTTTTTAACCATTCTTCTATTGTGGGGCATCTAGGTTGTTTCCAGGTTCTGGCTATTACAAATAGTGCAGCTGTGAACATAGTTGAACAAATGCTTTTGTGGTATGATAGGGCATCTCTTGGGTATATTCCCAAGAATGGAATTGCTGGGTCTTGAGGGAGGTTGACTCCCAGTTTCCTGAGAAACCGCCACACTGATTTCCACAGTGGCTGCTCAAGTTTGCATTCCCACCAACAATGGATGAGTGTTCCCCTCACTCCACATCCTCTCCAGCATAGGTTATCATTGGTGTTTTTGAGTTTGGCTATTCTGACAGGTGTAAGATGATATCTCAAAGTTGTTTTGATTTGCATTTCCCTGATCGCTAAGGAGGTTGAACATGACCTTAAGTGCCTTTTGGCCATTCGAAGTTCATCTGTTGTGAATTCTCTGTTCAGTTCAGTACCCCATTTTTTAATTGGGTAAATTAGAGTTTTAGTGTCTAGTTTTTTGAGTTTTTTGTATATTTTGGAGATCAGACCTTTGTCTGATGAGGGGTTTGTGAAGATCTTCTCCCAGTCCGAAGGTAGCCTTTTTGTCTTACTGACAGTGTCCTTTGCTTTACAGAAGCTTCTCAGTTTCAGTAGGTCCCATTTATTCATTGATTCTCTTATTGTCTGTGCTCTTGGGGTTCTGCTTAGGAAGTGGTCTCCTGTGCCTATATCTTGTAGACTACTTCCCACTTTCTCTTCTATCAGGTTCAAAGTGGTCGGATTAATGTTGATGTCTTTAATCCATTTGGACCTGAGTTTTATGCATGGTGATAGATATGGATCTATTTTCATTCTTCTACAGGTTGACATCCAGTTATGCCAGCACCATTTGTTAAAGATGCTTTCCTTCTTCTGATACCAAAACCACACTGAGTGGACTTTTTTTTGGAGCATTATGGGGTCCATGGTTGTGCAGCAGAATAGCTGTGATTTCTCTCTGCCAATCACACTGTAGAGCCCTTTCCTCCTTCAGCTCAGTATGCTATCACTGCAAGATAGCGACTGTTAGTCTTTCAGGTACTCACTCAAATTATCATTTTGGAATGTGTAGTGGGAGGAAAGGAGGTGACAGAGAAAGAAGGCTATTGTTTTCCTTTAATTGAAGAGAAAATGAGAAGCCCCAAGGGATTCCCCCTTGTAATTTACTGACCAGAGCAGAGTGACATGGCCGTCCCACACTACTGAAAAGGTTGAGTCATCACCATTAAAACATATAAAGAGTATGGTCATGTGTGATTCTTGCATATGTCCTTTCCCTTCTCTTGAAATAATTTCATCTAACAATGAAGGCTTGTTACCTCAGATTAGTGAACAAGATGAACAATGATGATGTCTTGAGCTGTGAATCTTCATCATATTTACATGCACTGCTCCATGACAGCAAAGGAAAGCTGATAATCATACTATCTTACCTCTTTCCCACTGTCCACAGTGGGAAATAAGTCTGCCACAGGTATGTTAGAAACAAGAAGGTTTCCTGATCCTAAGGTAATCACTTTACAATGCTGAAGGTATGCGTTAAGATTAGAGTGTGGCCAGAGGAAAAAACTTTCTCTTCCTTGGAAAGAATCCCAACACCTGTCTCTTTGGATTGCTTATTCCTTTGAAGATAAAGTTGGATCAGGCCTGACCCTGTTTATGAATAAGCACTTACTTTCTCTATGACACTCTGGGGGTTATTTTAGTCTGTTTTCTGTTGTTCTAACAAAGTATCTAAAGTTGGAACAATTGTCAACTTTTTTTGACTGGAAGTTTTTTGAATGGAGGTTCTAGAATCATAGAAGTCCAAATATGTGACATTGGTAAGGGATTCCTGCTATTCATCTCAAAGGAAAAAGGCAAGGAGTGAGTAGGCCTGTGTAGAAGCAACAGGACAGAAGAGTGGGCTCTCACACTGTGTTACGTGTGTGACGAGAACGAGCCACCCTGGGGAGAAAGGCTTATGCCCTCCTAATCCACCAACCACTCGTGCACTGAGGACTTCTTAAATTCCTGAATTTAGGAAGACATGTTCAAGCTGTGACAAAAGTCATGCAGGAGCCAGAGAGGCAAGGGGACAGACAGGGCAGGCAGCATGGACAAATGCCTGTCGGGATGCTCTACAAGGTCTCACTCAGGTCCCCAGTTAAATGCAGAGAACTCTGTGACTGGAGACAAGTACTAGCAAAGTATTCCTCCCTGCCAGACCATCAACCCCATTCTTACATATCCCTCAGAGGTCTTTCAGGGAAGAACTAGGCCAAAGACAAAGGTTAAGAGTTTTGACATCAACTACCATTGATGCTCACTTTCTCAGCTACTTATTGAAAAGTCTTCTAACAAAGCTTGCCGTCTTGTCATATAACCATGTTTTAAAAGAGAAAATTCCCAAAATTTCTGACGCACATGCATAGATATTGCACAAAATGGAAAACGGCGCAGCAGCTCCCAATCCTGGGTTTCAGGCTTAGCATAGCTAGGTCCTCTTTCTGTGACATCAGTCATGCATGTGCCAGCTTCTCTGAGTCTCAGTTTTCTTACTGTGTTTGTAACACCACTGAAGTTACTATGAGATTAAATGTATAGGTGAAAATGTAGTAGTTTATAAAATAAAGAAAATATTAGTGTGCATTCAGTGCATGTTAATTCCATACATGATGATGATAATTACAAAATGAATACAACACTTGATCAAAGGTCAGTAGTAAAATCACTTGGTCAGGCTATAGCGTAGAGCTAGAGAGCTTATCTACTACATCGAAGGTCCTTAGGATTGATTCCCATCATTGAAAAATAAGTCTTACAAAAAGAAATCAACTATGTATTTTAAGAAGCATGTAGACAATGTCTTGTATTTTGGGGCTAGCTACATCACCATAATAAAAGTTAATTGCAAGAGACAGACTGTATGCATAAAGTATTTATTCTTCCTATTTTAGGGTGTTGAAACGTAGCAGTTTGAGAGACTCTAGAACAGCTGAGGACTGATGACCTGAGGAAAGGTCTGTCACTGCTAGCTGAGTTGATTTTGTTTCCCCAAAGGCATTTGCGTAGCAATTTGACAGTGTACAATATCCTAAAAATTGTAACAGTTTTTTGTAGAGAGTAATTATTGAAACATTACTTAAAATACAAGTCTCCTTTGCATTTTAAAGATTGGAAATGTATTACTGAAGCTAACAATTTTGTCCGTTTCAGTTCCATCATTGTGAATTTAAAAGAATGCGCACAACCGAAACAAACAAAACAGCAAGCCATGAACTAAAGAAGGTACTTTTTCTATCAGCTTCATAAAACCAAGCCTATTTATTAAAGGCTTATAATATAAGATCAGGAACCCAAGGAAACGATTCAATTACACTGTATTCAGGGGTCATACTTTTTAATCTATCAATTACAATTAATTCGAGGTCACAACTCACCTTCAGATGCTCAGATCCTATGCAGAACTTCGTCAGCATCTCTGTTGTGGCTTTGGTGCTGCTGGTTGATTCTAAGCCCAACTTTTTCACTAGACTGGACTTTCAATAGCTTATACTCCCATCCACACACACGCTAGTAAATCCACCTAAAAAGGAAAAGTATTAAAGGACACTATAGGGAAAGTGGTAGAGGGGAAAGCAGTCCTGGGTTCTAATCTCAGGCCTCTGACTTTGGACAAGACACTTGAGCCTTCCTGATCAGGTTTCTCCACAAAATGAAGAATTAGACAAAATGTATGAACAAGGTACACCAAGGTATACTCTAAGACATCAGAAGCAACATCCCCTAAACACTGGAAATGCTTACCAAAACTGAAAAGCAGTTCCAACAAGTGGAGTTGCTAGGTTAAGACATAGAAGTGCATGGTGATCGTACATTCACTCATTGCTTTCAGTATATTTTAAGACTGACCTGCTCTGTTTTGAAGATAAGCTCTTTCTATGTAGCTCAGGTTAGCCATAAACTCATGATTCTCAAGTCTCAGCCTCCTGAGTACTGATAATACACACATGCTACATTGTGTTGGCCTTGGTTTTAGGTTTTTTTTTCTTTTGCATCTTACTATTTTAGTGATTTCTCATAGAATCATTCAAATATAGTTTAAGAGATCAAGTACCAACAAAATTCTCAACCGGATTGGAATTTTATTGTCATTTAAAGTTTTCTTCTTTTTACTTATTTTTTTTTCTTAGAATGTTTGACCAGGAACACAGGCATTCATGTGAAGTAATGAGAAAGAAAGAAAGAAAGAAAGAAAGAAAGAAAGAAAGAAAGAAAGAAAGAAAGAAAGAAAGAAGAGAG